TGCTTTCCAACATGACAGGCGGTTCTGTTTAGGTGCTCTTTAATTACACACACACACACACACACACACACACACACACACTAAATCTCGTCAGTACATTTCCAAAGACGGTTTAAACTTTTTCGTACGTGTCCCTGACTCCGTCTCTGTCTCCGCTCACATTTCATCATCGCTCCGCCTCTTTAATTTCATCTAATTCTTTCCATCCTCTGCTTCTTCTTACTTCTCAGCATTTGTCAGATCATCACTTTCCACTACTGGTTTCCTCTTTTTTTGTTGTTTTTTTTATTTTGCTGTGAGTCTCTCAGCACCTGACCGGCTGTGAAACACAGAAACCTGTCAGGCGAATACTTAAATTAAATTAAATGCTGCAATTAAGAGAGTAATGGAAATGAATGCCGAAAAATACGAATAGAACAATAATCTCTTCTAATGATGGTATAATCGGTTCCAGTTATTATCGGGGAAACTTTTTCTGGTTCCAGCTTCTAAAATATGAGGAAACTGAAATATTCTGACTTGAGTTCAGTGAGACGTCACCTTAGTCTCTGAGGATACTTTAACTTGTGTCTCACTGTCGCAACTGTTCAGAGATTAAAATCAGTATGGAATAAAGTCTATGATGTCACTGATTTAAGTGAATCTTTTAAGTGGCAAACATTATTTTGATGGCGTAGGTTTTTGTCATACTGTTAGTAATCGCATTAACTTAATATCGTTTGTAATTGAAACTCAAATTTTTACATTAGTTGACTTAAAAGTTGAGGTAAATGAGCCTGATGACTTTATTTTTCTTTACTTTGAGTTCAGGATTTTGAATCTCCTTTGTATCTAAACGCACCTGTCGATTCAAACACCTTCATCCAGCTGTGGGTAGTTTGTTGGTTGAACAGAATTTTTATCAGAAGTTGTCATGATTATAAAAAGACTGACGTAAGCTTAGATGGTGTATATTGTTCAGACTGTAAAGATTTTCGTTGATTTAACCAACTGAACGGTGACTCGTCAATAATGACAGTATCTGCAAGCTGCAGACTGAACAATGATCTATAGCGTGGATAAAACCATCTACAGTCGTGACTCGATAATCGACCCTTAACAATCCAAAACCTGCTATCTGACAGGTTTTGAGGAAAAACCAACAGAACCCATAAAAACAGCCTTAACATAGCGACAGCCTTGGATTCTGACTCCGACATGACATTTAATGTCACCAATCAGGATGACGGCGTATTATCTGACTGAACAATCCCACAGATTGGCTACGTTCACACTGCAGGACTTGATGCTCAATGAGGATTTCTTTGTGACTTCCTTCACGTTTCCAGTTCAATGCGACTTGTATGTGATCTGCTGTGTGAACTTCATACGACCCAAAAGTGTCCCGCATGCGCAGAAGAGGACACGACGACGTCACACGCAGCGAGCGTGCTCAGTGTTTACGGAAGTAAACATGGATGGTAACGGTGGAGCGTATCTGCCACTCCCCCGCCGCCACCGATGGAGGAAACAGAAGTGTGAGCGCTAACTAAACTAGCATCAGCAGCCAAGTACTGCCTGTGTGTTCTGGACACTTCCACCCCGTCGGAGCGCTGCCCCGGGGTGGAAGTGTCCCCCGACTGCACCGAATATTCAGATATTCATCATGAAGTGGGCCTGAATATCCAGAGACCAGAAGGTGCTATTGGGACCAGCCCTACTAGTTATTATAACAACTATGAACAATAATGAACAACTAATGAGCCTTCCAGCATCAAGCCCTCCTTGACCTTGACCTCCTCTTGACAATCCGACAGCCTTGCTACCCGACGTAAAAGAAGTTTTTACATTTAGTGTCAGATTATCAACTCATGACTGTAAAGTTTTATTGTGGGCATAAATGAAACATTTACAGGCAGATAATTGGATAACATGAGACTGCAGGGAGATAAGATGGAACAGTCCTGGATAAGGAGGCTAAACCTTCACAGGTTTCTCTGTGAGCATCCGTAGTTACACAGTGTTCAACATTAGACTGATATCTGCACCAGAAGACTCAGATCCATCTTCAAAAACACAACCAAATAAGCATTTGAACACAGACTCCGTCTTCCCTGCAGGCAGCCATGCATAGACCCATTTTATACAAATGTCAAGCATTCATCTCTGTTATACGTTTACTTACCTGCCAGTTTGTTGTGTCAATTTCCAGTAAAAGTGATGCTCAGGCTGTTTTCTACTGAGAGGAGGACTGAAAGAGACTCATGTCAATTCTAGTATAGAAGAAAATATGTGCACCGGGGAAATCATACAGCCATTTGTATTTATATCTAATAATCTAGCGAACAGCACGTGAAATGAATCGCATGTGTGCCTACTGATGTTTGCTGCCAAGAACCAACCATAGTCAAATTCTTTCTCTGCTTTCTTTTCCTGTTTTTCTTTCGCTCTCACTTCTCGTCTTTCCCTCCTCATTTGCTTTTTGCCGGAGCAGCCTCTGGGCCATCTGCTGGCACCGAGCGGCAGCCTTATGGCACGAGAGGAACCAGTGGCACACCGACTTCATCTGTTATTAGTGCTTCAGAGAGACTTGGGGTGGAATGTGGGGAAGGGGAGTTTGACTGAGTGCTGTAGGGAAACACAGAAGGCCAGAAACTGGAGCCAGAGAACCAGGTTCCAAAAACAAAGTGGTGGTGTGTTTTCTCCACTCAGCTCTTCTGTTTTTTTTCTCTGCTCTTTTACTCTCTGTTGCCACATTTCTTTAAAAGGAATCCTGGGCACTAATAATTAGCACTTAGCAACATCATAGAAACTAAATACAGCCCCGGAGCAATGAAGATCTCCCTCCTCAGACAATAAGAACTATGATTTGTGTTTGGATAAATTCTAATAAAGCCGCATTTAATGTTTTTTTGTTTACTGTAAGTAGTTTGTCTTGTGATTTTTGTGGAATAATTTCCTGCTGACTGTACATAATCCTGGCTGAGGCTGAGACATGGTTTGATGTTACTGGGAGGTCAGCTGTGCCGTGTGGGCAGCAGGGCTATTTGGAAAATGGAAAACTTTGAATAAAAGATTGGGACGCGCAGAGGAAATAGAAACGCTTCTTGCAGCCACACGATCCTTTGCTTCAACACATCGTCTCCGGCTGCCTCGACTTGGACCCGAATGTGCCACAAACTAGAAACAAAAGATAGAGATAGTGGGACAAACAGAAATGAATAATTTGGGTTAAAAAAAAAAATCCTCATAAAAGTAATTTGGTGTGGATGTTTTTGGTTGATAATTGAAAAAAAAAAAAAAAAGAACCCTGGAAACCTTAATGGAGGCCACTGAGCAGCACGAGTGTCAAAGTTGGCTTTTATCCAGGAACCAGGTTTCTCTTAAAACCAGGAGGAAAAGAGGAACTATTTTATGGAAGAAAGTAGAAAAACAGACACACACTCCCTCTGTTCCCTTCTTTTCATATTCACATACATGAGCGGTTGCAGATGCTAATGTGTGTGTGTATATATGTTTAATGAAATCTTGGGAGACACGGACGTTAAAACAGTTTGGGAAAAACAAAAAAGTTAAAACTCATTGACCTCTGGGGGGTGCATTGTTTCCCCTGTTTTTCTACCAGGAAGTTTGCTCTCTCTGAGCAAATTGATATAATAGTGGCTGCACAACAGGAGTGGTGCTGTTTTATGTGTTTGTGTTGTTAGCGTGGGAGCTTGCACAACAGCTCCCAGCTCTGGGCCGGTGTATGCGTGCTTTTGTTTGTGGGTGTGGACGTGTGCGTGCATCCTGCATCAGTCCCCTACCAGCATCCTACCTATTAAACACATGGGTGGTCAGCCTGTTTATTGTGTGGGTTTGCAAGCAAAGCTCACCCATTTGGCTCAGACCAGTGACTCATTCACAACGGTTAAATCCACTTACTACCTTAATCTGAGTGTTTTCAATCATAATCTTTGTTTCCATTTTGCCTCCAGCTCACTGCTGGTACGGAAGAATTCCAAGGCCTCTGGTCCACCGAAAGCACACATTAAACAGTCTCGTAAATGTTTGTTTTGGGTGGTGGAGCTCTGTTGGATGCAGCAGAGACAGTCCAGAACACTGCGTAGCTCTGTTTAGCCTTCCTAGCAGGCTGACTCTGGGGTTGTTTCTCGTTCCACCACTTGATACTGACACATCCCAACTATTTTGCCTACAAGATGAATCCAGCTGACTTGGGATTTCTCCAGCTTTTACTCTAGCACAATCAACGGGCTTTTGCAGAAACACTTAGGGAGCACTGTTGTTGTGAGCATTTTAGCATGTTGTATGGCAAGGCGATATCACCTTAAATCACTTTCACAGAAGCAGCAATTCATTTATTATGTATTTTTTTAAGTAAACTTTTGAACACAATCTACCTTTTAAATAATTTGCACTTGAAACTGAAAAATCCTGGATTTGGTAGCTGTTCTCCAACGAGCAATATAAAGCACATTTTGCTTTTTGCACAGCTTCTGTTGTTTTTAGCTTCGTTTTACAGTAAAATCTGTCTTTAGTTCTCTGCTGTTTTAAAGCATCAGACTAATTAGCATTTAGAGTAACATTTTTAGGTCATGTTCACGTTTTTTACGCTCTTGATATTCATTTACTAGAATAAGGAATAGCACTACTGGATATCAACAATGGAATAGCTTAAATACTGCAGGTTCCCATTTACCAGGTTAAATACTTCTCGCACATGGAGCATCTTAGCAAACACCACGTAGTGGTCGACTGCATCTCCAGGTTACATTTCCTGTTTTCAGCTGTCATGCACCAGCAATATGCACTCAGCACATTCATGTTTGTGTTTGAAATGAAACAAGTTGATTGTGTTCTTTCAGAGCAGCAGGTCTTTACTGGAGAATTTACATATAGCTTTTGTTGTTTATCATGTTTACTGATACTATACTATTTTATTTCTCTATTCCATTGTGGTTCCTGCGATCTCTCCCATCTCTCCCCTGGATGGAAAAAAAAAAAAAAGACAACTGGAACCATTTTACTTTTGGATATTCATTTAATGATAATATCACTTTTTCCACTTGTACAAATAAGTTCACAGAATTTTAAAAAAACAACAACAAATGACACCAAGAAGTTTCCCAAAATAAACAGGGAAAAATGAACAGTCACATCGAAAATACTTTTGGGTATCTTCAATGTATTGTATTTTACAAATATTCCAGTTGCATTACTTGATCGAGGATTCTCAAGGCATTTTGTTAGCGTGGGACTGTTAACTGTGCACTGGAAATACTGCAGGTAACATTCACAGATGTGTCTTTGGTGTGTTTGCCTACAGGTACAGTTGTTTGGGGCTTAAAGTACTCCGAGGCATGTGGGCACATAAAGGGGGAAACTGATAGTGACATGATGTCTGCAGGTCTTTGCGCAAGACAGAACATGTACCTGCATTATCACTGAAGTTGAGAAGAGATCCACACACACACACACACCTACACATGCTCACACACCTACACATGCACACACCTACACACACACACACACACACACACACCTACACATGCACACACTTACACAAACACACCTACACACACACACACACACACAAAATGTTACTTTCGCTTCATATTCACAGATTTGGATCTCGGTCCGTATGATAACCCTCCAGTGGCTTCTCCAGTCCCTCACACAACAGCATAAACACCATGAAGTTTACTGCGTTGTTCATCTGGTCTTCCCATAGTCTGGTTATGTCCAAGTGAGCAACACTCAGGCCCTCCTTGCCAAGGAGAAATTGTGCATAGCATTGCATCAAGCAGGCTATTTTTACTTTAAGAGAAACACAATACACATCCACTGTTTGCTTTTCTTGTTGTCAGCCAGCCCAGTAGTAGTATGTTGTATGTGACCTGTGGTTGAGGGACAACACAGTTTCCCTTACAGGGAATATAAACAATAAATAAAGTCTCTTGCTGTGGTGTGCTCATGTGATGGTTGACTGTAATTACAACAAGCTCTAAAATGTTTGAAACTCAGTGTTCTGAACACTGAAACAGAAGGGGTTCAGTCCACTGCGTCCCTCTGTACCGTTTTGTAATCCCGCTTACGCTCTCTCTTTATGATGGCAAAGCTCGCTGAAGGCTTCAGAGTGAAGAAGGGGGATTTAGTCTCGACTCTGTCCAGACTCACAACTACTTAGACTGTCTGACATTCTGGGGGCAAAGCCCTTTGATTGAGTTTACTGGTACCAAACGAGTTTTAATCTTCAAAGATTTTAATCTGCTGTTTTGTCTGTTAGTCACAGGAGGTGGGGTGGAGGGAACTGAGGCTGTTAACAGTCACTACGTTGCACAACAAAAAAAAAAAAAAAAAAAAAAAAAAAAAAAAAAAAAAAAACATACAAACAAAGTTTTCGTGCCAAATAAAACAATACAAGCATCATCTATTTTCTCTGCACAACTTCATTTGGTGTCTTAAACGTCATTCACAGCAAGCACTGTTCCCTTCGGGGTAGTCCTGGGGAGGTACAATGTTCAGTTGGGCAGCACTACCCCATTTCAGTGCACACTCCTTTATGAACAGATAAAGAAGGGCATCATGTCTCCTATTCCCACGTTTCAGCCAATGACAACACACCGTCAGTCCCAGCATCACAGCATGACACTTGAATGTAAGTGAGGAAATATTATTAAAGCGGGATGCAGCATGTAGAAGGAGTAGAAGCACTTTTGATGCTTAAGTCCAAACAAATGTTTTTGAACTTGTTTAATGTCTGCTTAGACAACCAAAGGACACTGAGTTACATCCAGTTTCTACTGTGCTGGTTGGTTGGCTGATACTGTGTCCTCCACTTTCCCAGCAGCAGTTTCTGCTCTTTTTGTTTCACTTTGGGGGACAGAGCTGAAGAATTAAAAATCCTCCTTGAGATCTGAGTAATCAAAGCCACTTGTCAAAAGTAGGAGGGCTTGTGTGAGGACATATTGTTATTTGATGTACAGTGGTCTTGTAGTAGCAACACCTCATATTCCAAATTACTACTTTGAACAGCAGGTTCAGGGATCATAAGTTGGGGCTGTTTTTGAGGCAGTGCCCCATTGTCTAGGCCAGCTTTAACCCCATCCAGCTCCAGCTGGGAGGGCTCACAGTCCAGGTCCATGTGGCCCTTGGCTCTCTTTTTGCGAAGATAGCATACCACTCCCACTGCTACTGCTATCAGCACCAGAAGGAGCAAGATAGCAATTGCAGGCACCAGCATAGTGGTTAGCTTTGGGTCCTCGAACTGTGCATCAGGACCCCTGGTGCTCTCAGGGGCTGTGTGGGCCTCAGTGCAGACACTGTCTATGCCACTAGGAGCTCCTAATGGACTGGCACACACAGTGTAGGTGGAGTTGGGATTCAGGCCTCTGAGTCTGTACTCTGGGAAGGATGCTGGGAGGCTGAGCTGAATCGGTCTGCGGTCTGGTCCAGAGAGATTGCGGTAGGTTAGACGGATTCCACGGATGTAAGGCCTCATTTCAATGTAGCGGTGGAGGTCCAGCAAGATTGAGGTTGCAGTTTCTTGATGTGAGCTGATGTCAGGTGCGTCTGCAGTGACCGTTGCCATGGGGAGCTCGGCTTCAGGTGGTGAAGGCGGGGGGTGGTTCTGGACTTCACAATACATGCCAGAGGTACCATGTGGACAGGTGCACTCTACCTGGCCGTGCTGGTCCAAACGACAGGTACCCCCATTCAGACAGGTGTGAGAGGGACAGAAATGCTGCTCCTCATCTTGGTCCATGCTGCTGCTGCTGGGGGATGCAGGGACAGGGGGTAGGGGAAAGTCACCCTCTTTGTCAGTGGGGTTGTCACTGGCCCTGGGGACTGGAACAGCTCTGGTGGTGGTAGGGAGGGTGGTGACAGGAACAGGCAGGGTGGTGGTAGTTTTCACAGTACTGGTGGTGACTGTAGTTGTGGTGGGACAGCCAAAGTCCCTGTGCTCCAGTCTTTCTAACACCTTTCCAGCATTGATCGGTGGGAAATGGCAGCGGGTCTCCTCAGTTCTCTCCAAGGTGATGCTCTGGGATCTGAGCCATCTCGGGAACCAGGCTAAGTTGCAGAGGCAGTTGAAGGGGTTTTCTGCCACTGTGAGCTTTCTGAGGTTGGGGAGGAGCTGGGAAAACTCTTCAGGGAGGCCTTGCAGACTGAGGCTGCTAATGTCCAACTCATACAGCTCCCCAAGGTTCTGCAGGTCCTGAACCTTAAGAGGACCCATTGGGTTCCCAGCCAGGCTGAGGTGAAGCAACCCTGGGGTCTCCTTTAGCACTGAAGGGAAGGACTCAAGTTGGTTTCCTGAAATATCCAGTTCATGGAGATTCTTCAGACTGCCTATGAGCTCCTTGTTTAGGCTGGTGAGCCCCACTCCACCCAATTTGAGTGCCTCTAGATTTGGGGTCTGCAGGTCTGAAGGACCCAAATTGGGTAGGACATTAAAGCGAAGGTCCAGCAGCAGCAGTCGGGGCATTGAGAGAGCAGGCAGGGATGTGAGCTGGTTACCCTGCAGTTTGAGTTCCAGCAGGTGCTCCAAGCCATTAAAGGCTTCAGGGTGGATGGTCTCGATATGATTACTGTACAAGTAAAGGCGCTCAAGCAGCGTCATGCCATGGAAGCATTCCTCTGAAATGTGGGTGATTTGGTTGGATGACAAGTCCAGGTTTCTCAAAGATGTTAAAGGTTCAAATACCCTGTCAGGAAGGTGGGTCAGTTTGTTTTGACTGAGGTCCAGCATTTCTAGGTTCTCTAGACCATCAAAGTCCTCAGCTGTCAGGCCCTCAATCCCGTTGGCAAAGAGGTAGATGCTTTTCGTGGATGGGTCCACTCCCTTGGGAATGGTGGAGGAGCGTCTCTGGAAACACAGGATGGATTCTGGAGTCGAACAGGAGCAATCTTTGGGGCAGCTGCTGGAGAAGATGCCATCAGGAAGGATGAGGATGAGCAGAAAGGGCATCAGCGGAGTGAGAAAGGTCTTCATGGTGCTGACTCTTTCTCTCTCCATGCTCAGCCTAAAACAAGAGAACAAATAAAGTCTTAATTAGCTGCATAATCATAGAAAATCACAGTAAATGCTGACTGTAAATGAGAAACAACAGGAGTACACGTGACATTGCTGGCTCTGTTTTAACTTTATCAAGAAATGTGAGACAGATACACCACAAGATATACGTTGTTTTACGTAACATGTAAAATAATCCTTATAGAGTAATTTCTAGACCAGTGTAGGTCACTCATTGATTCACAGTGTGGTTCTTTACTGTGTTTCATGGAGTAAGATTACTACCAAACGTTTAACTATGCAGAGCCAGTGATCAAAGGCAGTCGTTTGTCACAAGGTCTCTCCAACAATAGAGCTGTAGCTGTGACCTCAGGCTTCAGAGGGAGGTTTCTGCCGTACTTTGGGGGAAAAGCTGACATAGTGGCATCCTGCCACCCTCTTCTGACTAAGTGAAGGCCAAATTCTCCCTGCAATGTTCTCTAATAAATAGTACTGTGTGGAAATTATTTCCTTCTCCAATTAAACCACAATTTTGTATTTAAATGCCGACACCACGACACACACACACTGTGGTTGTTGTGCTGCTGACGTTTGTAGAATCCTCCAGCTGTAAAACATACAGTCTGTGTCTGCATTTTTAAATTGTTTTGTCTGCCGTGAACCAGTGTCAGTAATAGCATGGAACTACTTCCCTTATGTACCATAGATGTAATATAAATAACACACACATTATGTACTTTACGCACAGGGACGGCCATCGATACTAGTCAAACAAGTGTCTCTAATACCATAAGCAGGATGGAATATACAGAGAGTGATGAGCGTAGATCCTTAAAAAGATATACTCGGTGAAATGGGCTTAAATCACGCTGAGCCAAAGTCTTACAAAACAAATACCCTGGTAGAGTGTCAACACGATACATGAAAGGGCGGAAAAGGAGGAGAAGAATGATGGAAAGGAGAGGGAGAGTGGAATGAGGGGAGATAAAGAAGAAACTAGTTTCAGTCCAGCGTCTGTGTAGGAGTTTATCATCCTTTGCTATCTATGAGATGGCCTTGGGGGAAGAAGCAACATGTCTATACTGACCAGCTTTTGTCCTTTTTTTCCCCTTTTTTCTGTTCAGGAACTCAGTAGAAACACTTCTTTTTGACTAATGCTTAACCAGAGGCAATGTTGGGATGACTTTCTCCAAAATACTCAAAATTCCCCTGACGTCCTACAGTTACCTTTGTTTAAGACCATGATTTAGGTTTAAGGATCCGAGGTGAGGACAGTACATAATTCACATCTCCAGACGTTGCTGTCTGAACATTTATGCCTCTCTGTATTTAAGTGCTGCATAAATGCTTGAGGGCTTAATGGTGCAGTTGTTGATGTCTGCACGACACAAATACCTGAATAAGAAGACAAATATGTGTGACTCAAACACACAGAACAGTCTGTCCTCACTCTGCTAACCTGAGGTTGGGGCCCAAAACTGGCTTTGGATGTTTTATTTTCTTTCTGTCTTGGAACTATCATCTTAATATATATGTGTACAATTTTTCATAAAACTATGTACATATAAAATGTAAATATTTTAAATCAAATGCATGGGCACTGAACCAATCTGTAGCAGCAGTTTTTATTTATAATCTTTTATTTTGCTGTTATTAATTTTTCGTTATTTATTTTAGAAGTGAGTAGTGCAGTGTTGGTGGTTGTGCTGAGCCCACGGTCCAAATACTGACAGCTTGCATAGTGTTTACAGCTGCTAAAGGAAACATTAATAAGAAATAATTGTTTTATTTCACTGACTTATACAGTTTTTGTGCCACTTCTCAAACCACATTTGTCTGTAAAAAAAAATTCAAGTCTGTAGGATTAAGCTTTGTCACAGTGGCATGAGAGCAGATGTAAATACTTTCATCGTGTTCATCTTCATCAGCTTCTCTTTCCTTTTCTTTTTTAGCAATGTGTAATAAAATATTTTCTCCACACACACACACACACACACACACACACACAAAGAAAAGCCTCCACTGCCTCTAAAGGCAGAACTTGGAAAGGACATCAAGGGTACATCAGTCAGCCAGAGGAAGGGCGAGTATCATCTCATCACGCCACAGCTATGGCATTTATTTTCCTCCTCTTTCAGCATACTTTTCTTTCCGCTCCTCCTTGAAATTGCAACCTCCTTGGAAAGAGTCCCTGATCTCTTATTTTCCTTCTCCGGTGTATAAACTAAAAGCAATCATGGCATTCACTCGAGCTCCCACTGCCAACTCTGCCAGAAAGGGCAGACCTGTTGTTCTGAGCAGCCGAATGTCAATGAAATGACCCTTCTCAAATCTCAAGGCTTGATTAAACAAAGCAGCTAAGTAGCTGTCAGAGTCCTCGGCTCAGAAACGCTGCCCAACTTTGCCAGCCGTGCAGAAAAGTTGGACCCATGTTTCCAGCCGAGCAGAAAGGTCACATCCACTTATTCTTGCAACTCATTATGGAAACTCTAGTCCAGAACGTAACGATAACATCTGATGGCGATGGTTTGCCGTTAGCTACAGCTGAATGGACAGCAGAGGTGAAGGGTTGCATTCATCCCATAATTTGCTAACAGAGCCTCCGGAAAGACACTTTAACAAGTCAGCAACTACATGTACGGAGTTGTAAAGGATTTTGTGTCGTGTCTGGTTGGAGACCAGTCGAAAGTAAGAACGTTTTATTGACTCCTGTTCCACGTAAAAGTTTGCATTGTAGTAATCAATAAAAGCGTCAGTCAAAAAGTAGAAGTGTAGAACTAGAAGTGTTTTAAACGGAGACGAAGGCAGGTTTCATTACAGGGCTCGGAAATAGTGGAAGAGGGAAGAAAAAGAGAAGTGTGGCTGCCGTGCTGCGTATGTGTACAGAAGATGGGAAAACAAAGGGATTTGGGGAGATAAACAGGACAGAAAGAATCAAACAACAGCTGCAGCGTATGCACTCAGATTTTCATATGGTCAGCGACTCTTCATGCTTTCAGAACGAACGCTAAAAAGCACTTGTTGTGTGAGAGAAGCACTGTATACGTTTGAAAAATGGCCTCATTCCTTCTGAAGAATCTCTACAGCATATACAAGGCTCCAGTGCCAGAATACACAACAACATCAAGGCAGCTATGAGAAGCGAGGGAGCCATGCAGATAAAACTGAGAATATTTTTCTTAGAAACCCATCGTGGCGATTCTGCCGTCGCTCCCCAGGGCAGAATGTTTATTTGAGTGTGCCTCATTCCAAACTGGGCTCATCTGATAACCCAGTGGAGAGACTGTGGCGGAGGTGGAAGGATTCAGCCCGGTCACAGACAAACCGGAGCTCGGTGGCTTAGATTCTCCGGTTTTCTTTCTCTTTGGATGCAGGTGACTCGTTCTAAGGTCAGCGTGTAAGATGAGGTGTATGAATCCAGGGTGTGTGGTGCCTCCTGCCAGCGGAGGTGGACGCCTGACGGTGGAAAGACAGTTTTGTCATCCTGCTGAAAGAGGAATGCCCCCTCCCTTCTTGCCTTCCTCCTCCTTTCTTGAGTTGTAATTTCCTTTTCTCTCCCCTGTGCACTTGAGACATTCCTGAGACAGGCAGCAGCTGAGTTTGAAGAAGTGAGCTCGTCTGTCTCATTGGCTTGGCATTTAGAGATTAACAGGAAGCTTTTCTGGGTTTATCAAAAAACAAAGGACTGGATGAACATGACCACATCTGTTATATAACGATTCTTCTTGTATCTGTGCTTTCTTTATGCTTGCTTTGTGGGTCGTATTAGAATTTAACGTGTTGGCAGAAGAAGAGATGTTTTTTTTTTGTGCAACATGAAGTATAAGCATAGGGAGTAAAGACATTTCCCACCTCCCCCGGCTCACTTCTTATCCTGCGATTTCTTTCTTTTCAAGAAGAGGAAAAGAAAAGAAAACAGAAGCAGTGAACGGCGGAGACAGAGCAGGTTTCTGTCAGCGGGGGGCTCCAGCTGAATAAGGCCTGGCTCTGGGAGGGTGAAGTGGGCTTCGGCAATTAAATCCCAGCGGGCTGAGTGTCAAGAGTCCTTATCTTCAGAGCTGAAGGCCAACGTTGAGGGGCAACGGAGGGTACAGAAAGGGGTAGAAAGTTGTGGTGTGCATGTGCGCGGACCAGGTCGCTGCATAATTCAAGCGGCTCGGCCAAAGACTGAAGAGGAGCTCGATGCCAAGGCTGGGTAAGGGGATCAGGCTGCTCACTACAGAGTGCATACTACCATTAAAGAGGCCCCTTCTCTTCAGGGACCTTAACTTTTAAAGAGAACACACACCGTTGGAGGTCTGGAGGTTCACTGCTGAAATATTGTAAATTATACAAAGTATTGGAACAGAAACATTACTTCACCCTAAATTATAATGAAGGCTGGGGGCTGATGTGAAGCCTCTCTTTCCTTCCACTGTCTGTTTTTCAATCAACAGACCGGTTCTCCAGACACACTGGTTATCCATCAGCATGACAAGAGAGAACCAAGGAAGGAGAAGTAAGAGTTGTGTTGCATGGGAGGATGAAACGTTTACACAAGTGGCAGCGCAGGACAGTGAAGAGAGCATTCATGCAGACGGCAGTAACATGTAGCACAAGTATGCATCTGAACATGTCAGCTATGTTAATGTAAGACTGGTGGCATGCGTGTAATGCAGCGAGGTATTTGTTAATGGCAGGAGAAAACACATCTCTAATGTGTCTTCATACTTGTTCAGGAATAAGTTGCTCAGAGAGTTTGGCATCAAAACAGGAAAATGGATTTCCCTCTAAGTTCTAAAATATATATTTTCATAACCTAATTGTGTTATTTATTTATACTGACACCAAATTTGATCTCACAAAATCTATTGACTGTTTTCTTTTGTGCTGTCAGTGTAAATAATGGTAAACTTTGGAACATGACAAACAAGAGATTCAGTTTCTCCACATCGAGGCTCAGCTGTATTAAAAGCTGGGAAGGCCGGCAGTAACCTTGTTAAACGGAGAGCTGATATTCCTAAATATCTT